TGTCTGGAAAGGATAGCCATAGATCTCTGTCCTCAAGCATGGTTTATCAGTCTGGGATGTCGTAGGTACAATACGTAGATATCTTGTAATAATACMATGGTACAGAATGCGACGTGCAGCAGTTGAACTATCATAGTTACCGTAGAATATCTGTGAATCAGAAACAAAAAGGTTAATGGCCCACTTACACTAAAAGTGACAGATGTATGACGGATACGTTATACTTGGCTCATATTGTACTACCAGTGGATGTATATTTATCTGGTACGTCTTCACCCACTGAACTATCATACTATCAATATTGCTACATTACCCTGTCAATATTGTTCTCCTGATAAGGGGTCCATGTTGTACTACCAGTGGATGTATATTTCTCTGGTACGTCTTTACTCACTGATCTATCATACTATCAGTATTGCTACATTACCCTGTCAATATTGTTCTCCTGATAAGGGGTCCATGTTGTACTACCAGTGGATGTATATTTATCTGGTACGTCTTCACCCACTGAACTATCATACTATCAATATTACTACATTACCCTGTCAATATTGTTCTCCTGATAAGTGGTCCATGTTGTACCATCAGTAGATGTATTTATCTGGTACGTCTTGACCCACTGGTCAGCCATGCTGTTTCCCTGTGTCGCCACAGCACAAATAAGGTGAGATGTCCTTAAGTCAATCTGTAGATATGGATCAGAGTCACTTGTAGAGGCACACCACGATGAGCCTGATGTGTAATGTAGTCTGGCGTTCTGGGCTAGATGTTGAGCAGAAGAAGCTGTTATACTGCCATCTTGAATAGTTYCTGATTCCATACCAAGAGGAGAGTTCTCGCAAGCTACGAAATGAGAAAAGAAGGGAAGGAGTCTATATATCTAAGGTCGTTTAAAAACGGATCGGTAGTGATATTGTAGACCTGATTTGCATATATTTTGGAAGGGACTACCAGATTACATCGCCCATGTTGGAGCCWAGCCATTCAAAGAGTGAGTGTAGCTGGTCTTAGTTGTTAACAATTCATTTTGTTTTTTTGTATTCATCTCTAATGCACTCGAGTGTATTACTGACAACTAATTTCGCTCTATCTAAAGATATAATCAGACTTAATGTATAGCAAGTATGTTTCGTTTGTAGAACGATGTTGTGAGTATGTATATTTGAAAGAAGTAAAGGCGGAGCTTGCGAGTACGATCGTTTCTACTTTCTACAATGTCGCCGCATCGTGTGCCCGCGTCTTCTGTAGCCGCTCTATATATCTAGTATTTTTATGTATTAAAAGTTTTACCTTTTAAATATCCATAGATCCCTACTCTCATTGTTTTATAGCGATATTTCTTTGTAGGTATGAATCTGAT